TTTGTGAGTCCCCATGAGGAATCGAACGTTAGACGAAAAAAACATCTTTACATTTCTTTACCTGGCTCAAAACTTACTATCTTTCTTATTCTTTACGAATGATAAATTTCTTTTGTTTTATCCCCCTCCCCGAGCCTCGTAGCCATGTTATAATTTTGATGTTTAGAAAACGGCCTCTCGACCAGATAACGTGACAGGCTCGACTGGTGATCATGAAAGTATGAACATTAGGCTACGCTGTCAGCCACAGCCTCGTTAACAGGGCCTTTTCCCTTAGTTAAGGGAAAAGGCCCTGGGAACGAAGTTGCGTCAGCTAAACTGAAAACCTATAAAGAAAGAGCCTTTGCACTAACAGCTCCGAGGCAGAGAACCAATAGTTACCGGCATTAGATCAATTAATCGATGTCGGCAAAAAGTGAGTTGGCACTACATACGAGCTATAATTTGCTATTCTTTTATAATACTGATAGTAGACTCGTTTCTTTGGCGAATAAAAATTAGAAACAGTCAAACTTTTTTTTCTTTTCAGGCCAAAGACTCAAAAGCAGTATTCCAGAGACATGTTCACGTTTTTGTTCGCCCTTCTGGTCATGGTCGCTTTCGTTTACACCATTAAAAAAACACCTGAAAAACTTGTCAACAGAGATCAGACGGAAGAGTGGAAAGGCTGGATGCAGGTCAGTGAATCTTGCAGCCATAAAATCTTTTCCTATGACGCGCTGTGTGAATATCTTTAGTGAAAACTATTCACGGGCGCCTAAAAGAAATTCCTTAAGCATGTTAAAGGGTTAATCCCCCCCCCTCCATTCATGAAATAAGTGTCAGTTTGGCTGATGTTAGAACTATCGGAATTAGGAAAATGACAGTTTTAGCTGAGGTTGCGTAATACGAAACATTTTCTTTAAATTCTCCGGCCGCTGGAGTCAGTATCCAAGGAAGGTCGCAAGTCTCGCAGATTCGATTTGTAACTTTAATTTCTCGTCTTCGTACGATCACGGTCAAAAGCTATCAGAAATAAAGTCGGTTCGGATTGACAACTAATAATGGGTGGCAGCGCCCTGGTGTTTTTGTCTCTTGCTTTTCCTGTACTGAGTTTGGCTCCTTGCTGAAAACAGTATCGTTAGAGTTGAGGTCTCTGCTTAAAAAATTAGCATTCTGATCCCGGCTGGCTCTTTTTCAAAAGAGAACACGATTTTTACTCCGCGCCGCATCAAATGGACTCCGCAGTGTAAACCTGAGAAGTAATCGCAGTTTATCTCCTATTCTTTTTAATATGTCATGGTTCCAGGTGCAGTTTGTGTGGTATCACTATTTTGATGCGCAGGAAGTATTTAATTCAATCAGATGTTACATTGCCGCCTACGTATGGATGACAGGATTTGGTATGAGACTTTTACCTTCTCTAATATTGCTCTCGAATGGAGACTTTTCTGGAAACCAAACCACTTTTATCAATTCCACCAAATATCTATTGTTTAATTTTTTCTTGGAGATTTATGTTTCTTTGAGAAATATGTATTTTATCGTCTTGACACGAGCGTTGCACGAAAAAAACTTCCTGTGTCCCCATGAGGAATCAAACGTCAATCCTTTGGATTGCATGCTCTGATTCTGGTTCGATACCTTATGCAGTCTCAGAACTTTTCTGTGCCGCACGCTTGTGGTAAGACAAGAAGACTTCTTCTTCCATTTCACTTCTTGTCATTCAGCTAGTTTCTCCTTCGGATAAATTATGAATGACTAATTTTGCCATGCAGTCTCTGGAATAGCTATAAATTTTCTTTTTCCTCCTAAGGTAATTTCTCGTATTTCTGGATAAAGAAGGACTATTCTCTGTTCCGCTTGTTAAGGATGATGTTTCGTCTCAACTTTTTGGTTGTCATGGTAATGGCTGTCACCAACAACGAGTTCGTCCGGTATTACGTGTGTGCCATGCACACCTATTGGTTCATCACAGTTTACGTCATGATGGCAGTGTTCAAGTCTTACAATGAGGTTAGAGGCTGGGAAGGTTGCAAACAACTTCGTTCCCAGCACCCCTTACTAAGGAAAAAGGCCCTGGTAACAAGGTTGGGTTGCAAAAGAAAGGGCCCATATACGGACGTATTTATGATGACGTCAAGATAATAATATGGTTTAATAACAAACGCGAATTGAATATAAATTCAGTAACGAGCTGATTATGGTGAATTTTCAAGTTTCACCACGCATCCTTCCTTTGTATACTGTCACCTGTAACCAAAAGTAAATCGCCGTCATCTTGTTATATGGGAGTAGCGTCTGTAGCGATCCTTTACCGTTTCCCTCTTTACAGCCATACAAGTGATTGAGCAGTATTCTTGAATATAGAAGTAATGATATCATAACGAATTATAAAGATTCCAACATCCCTGATCTCATCATGATTTTGATTTGAACACTGATTCTGCGCTGTTTTTCTTCACAGAATCGTTACTTCATGGCAGCTAAATTTGCAATCTACATGGTTATAAACTTATTGATATTTGATATACCCGGTGCTTCGTACATAGTGTTCTGGCCTTTCCAGTTTATCTTAAACGTCAAAGGCAATCTGAGATACTGGGTCTATCGTTCCACGTAAGTACATATTTTCAATATATGTCCTCTCCTTCTGATTAGTCTGTGAGCAAGCTCTCATTAGCAGGGGCGGATCCAGGATTTAGTCAAGGGGGGTTCGGAGAATTGTTCCCCTTCTGAGCCGTTCAACATTTTGAAAATTAGGTCTTCGGAAAGATGATTTCCAGCATTCTGAGGGAAAATTTAGCGGGTTGAACCGAACCACCCGAACCACCCCTGGATCCGCCCTTGATTAGCGATACGACAGAAGCACCGAGGCAGTAGGTTGTCGAACGTGCGGACAACGCGGAAATGTCAGAGTTCTACGGAGATTTCAGCACAACCAGTCTCTTCGGAAACCTTTCGGTAGCTCGAGTCTCAACCGCTATATATATATTTTTAATTTGCGAGGAAACACAAAGCGAGCACCCATTCCCTCGCGTTCGTAACTTCTTCCGCTGCTCTTGTTTTACTCGCGTTTTTAACCTCCTGATCTGAGAGAGAAAGAACTATGAAGACTAAAGTAAAAAGTATTGAAAAAGATTAACTCTCTCTAATTCAAATTATCTCATTTAAATGAAAAAAATCTCAGTTCCTGGGTGAACGAGGGAAAAAACTAAAACTCTTATTGAAGTTACCCTTCTAACATTTAAAAGACCACACTAATTAATTAAACCACTGTGTCCTCTTCCAGGTTGGACCACTGCGTCACGTGGGTGGGAATGCTGTGCGCGTACAACTACCCGTACATCGAACAGTTCCTTAAATACTTGGACAAAAAGCACGAAAACCGCCGAGCGGACCACCTAGCCTTGCTTCTCAAAGTGTGGATCACCGTAGCCTTGTTTGGTGTGCTAGTGATATGGTTTCATTTCGTTTTAATGCAGGAAAGACATTACTACATGACTATCCATCCTTTTACGTCGTGGATCGCAATTGTCATCTATCTGTGGTTCAGAAACTTGCACCCAGTCCTCCGCTCTCATTACCTAGGCCTGTTTAGCTGGCTCGGTAAAGTCACCTTGGAGACGTATCTTTCTCAGATTCACATCTACATGATCGGCAATGCACAGCAACTGTTAATATACATCCCGAGATATCCCATGTTGAACTTCATGTTAGCGAGTGTGATTTATGTCGCGGTCTCGTACGTCCTCTTTCATCAGACTTTGTTTTTCAACACTTACATATTTCCCAAAAATATGGGAATTATTTGTAAGAATGTCATCGTAGGTTCAATATGGTTGGGACTTTGTTACGCACTTTCCTTTATAATTGAACTAGCAGGTTTCTGGTAATTTTGGTAGAATCTTTTTCTTTTTATGAAAATCTTCTTTCTTGTGCATCTTGTTTAATACAGAAACGGTTAACCGGTCGTTTTATCAAGCGACTGTTTTGCCTGGAGTCGCTTCGCCTCGAGAGGACCACACCTTTTGTTTCACCGAAAAGTACCGCAACCCTTCAATGGAATTTTTCACCGTTTTGAGCTATGAAATTAAAAGAAAGTCTTCAGGACTTACTGTCGCTTAGTTGAACGAAGTTAAAATTAGCCTCGTGTATATAGCTTGTACACTGATGAAGTGTATGTTGAAAAGAACGTTTGATCGTTTTTCTTTTGATAAAGCCCAAGTAGTCTAAATAACTAGCGGTTTTGTGCGCGCTAAACGCGCTGAGCTGCAAGGCTGCGAGAGGCTTGGGACGGAAGATAGTTTTCCATTTGCGGCTTCGCTTCTCCTCTCTTACAAAACCGTAAAGCACACACAAAAACGCCAGCCACACAGGCTACTTAGGATGCAGAGTAACTGTCAACTGACGATCGCGACGTTCTGACTGCAAAACACGTTGCGCGAGAAAAAGAAAAGAAAATCTTACCTACACGGCAAACGCGAAACAGGTTATTTTCACGTAGAGACGGCAAAGCGCAACCGGCAAACATGAAGTAATAGGGGTAGGGGGTGGGGGGAAACGAGGTCACGTGGTCACTCTTGCCGTTCACGTTTCTAACTGGGAGAGGTATACCGTATGGAATTTCCAAAATAGATTTTGTACCAACTGAACTGAGAGATGGATCCGTTTGACTCTGGTTGGTCAAAGCTGAATAGCGCCACCAGATAAGTGTCTACAAGACGGCGATTTATCAGGGTGCTAAACTACACCAATTTTTGCGCAATCAGAAACTGGAGGGGTTAGGTTGGGTTGATACCATTCATTCATAGAGCCTACGAGTTAAGTTTACGTAGCTTTATTGGAAAAATAAAATTTACACTGAGATTCGTTCGAAATAAATAATTAAAGATTTTTAAATATCATTTACCAACATTCTCCCACAATACAAAACAATTTCATAAGAACACAAACAAGAGCCACCCTTGACTTACATCCAACCCAATGTTTGATTCATATTACATAAACTCGGTTATATTTTACTGGCACAACCTACGCTGCACAGAAGGAAAAAACTGCTGAGAGAAAATTGCTTCTGAAGAGGACGCAAGCCAAGATTGTGGCAAAAAAAAGCTTTCCCCAGCCTCATTTCTCGACAACCTCAACCCATTAAGTTCTCAAGAAGACCCATTTTTTGGATACACTAAGGAACTTGTGATGTACATGTAACTATTTGTCTGAAATGTTCTTGACTTGCTGTCATTTTCTTCCAAAAAATTTGCTTTTCCTCTTTGGGTGACCTAGTTTAAGGCCTAAAAATGTCTGCGTATCTCCAAAAAGCGATTGCCAGTTGGCAGATTTATCTTTTATTACTAGCAACCAATTTATAAATGAAGATCCATAAATGGCAACTTCAAAAAATATTGACTTTGGAACCCTGTTAAACAGATGTTTGAACTGTAACCTACCCAAGAGGAAATGCGTTACAGCCAGAGGGGAGGATTAATAATCACATCTTCCTAGTTAAAGGGTTAAAAATTCGATCCTTCAGCTGTAATGCCAAAGTATAAATCTGGTACTTATGGGGCATTCTGCGGTGAACTGCTCCCCACACAGTCTGTCATGATGGGGCACTTTAGAACTCTGCCAAAGAAGTCCTTCTCTGCAGGATCATTAACTGTCCAAAGAACTACACTCACTCCATTGTTTTGCCATTCTCTTAGGTATTCTCTACAGGAAAAGAATATAACAGTATTGAAACTACCAAATTAACAAGAGCATTAACAAAATGCATTAAAACACTTCCACCACGAGTTTTATCGGAATTCTTTTGACATGTCTAGCAGTCACTTTGATAACATGTACTAATATTTATCCATAGTTTGCACTTCATATCTTTGTTTGTATGATCTAACCATTCCTACCTAAAAATTGAGGGAAACCCACCTTGAGAAGTGTGCAGTATGAGACAGAAAGACAGACACTCCCAGTATGTCGTAAACCCAGGAGTGAAGATGAAGCTCCCATATTCTGTCAAGCAGGGAAGCCAACAGTTGTTTCCACCACTCCTTGTATCTACATGGACCACAATATTCTGTAAGGGATATGAACATTTTCCGCCATGTGAGGGCTGTAAGAATATTTGGATCAGCTCGGCGTACCTAGTAGTGAAGAAAAATATTGCAGCTCTGAGGATTATTTTCCAAAGAAGGAAGGCAGAATCACATTTTCAGGCAGTTGACTTACATGGTGATAAGCCCTTAAAAATGGATTTTGGTGTGGAAGTCAAACTAGGAAAAATAACCATCATAGCAATCTCTTTAGATGCGGTGATGTCTTCCTCATGTTAACACAATTAAATATATAATAATTGATATCATTATTAAGAATTACATACGTATATCTTATTAACCAAGCACGAGGGCCTTATTGGGAGAATATCGGCCCGAGGTCTTGACAGTACAGACCGAGGGCCAATATTCTCCCAGTACGGTCCCGAGCAAGCTTGGTTATAAGAGATTTATTATACGACTGAAGTTCAAAGGGACACAAGTGCGGCATCATTCGGGACCATTCGGGACAGTACCCGGTCCAATACTTAGAGAATATTGGACCGGCAATAGAGCATTTTGATTGGTTGATTTAGTTATTGGCCCTCTGACTGCCCAAGTCATGTAACAAATATATTTATTACATGGTAATTCATTTTCATGTGTCTAAATAAAGGTGGTGGAAGAAAAAAAAATTATCCTTTACTGGAATTGCCTGGAAATTGAAAAGCATCAAAAACAAAGTTTGTTCTTTATATAGAACAGTGTTTTTTGAAGAAGCTGTTTCAATATGTACTACACTCTGCCCACAAATCAGTGTGTTTCTCAACTATATGTCTAAGTTAAAACTTCTTACCTGAAAAATTACATTTGGATAGAATGAACAAACCATGGCTTTGTCATACAGCTGATGACTTGCAAATAAGTTTTTGAGGACACTTGCAGCCTGTTACGTCAGGGTAAAAAATCACAGATCACAGACTCGTTCACTGATGAAAGTAATGCTAGTTCTGTTTTGATTTTTGCTTTTCTCAGATCTATAAAAGAATTCCACAGCAAAGGAATACAAAAATGTAACAGGTTAAACCACAGACACATTTGAACCACAACACATACAAGTGTAACATTTTGACAACATACTTTTCCAGCTTGTGTTGCTGCTTTCACATCTATATACATTTGTAGACCAAGGTTCACACAAAGATCTACCACTTCTTCAAGGTGTGGAATACGCTCATCTGGAAATTTTTCCCTATAAAACATTGTCATCTCTCATATCATATATGATGAATAAATGAAGTTCATATATTTTGAACTGCAGTTTTTGCTATTGCATAAATAGCGCTCTCCACTGCGAGGATCATGCACCATATGTACTTTCATATCATGTTGTATCATTAACATATAAGAGAACTTAATAAGAAAACATAAAATTGGCTCAATGTCAAATGATCTTACACAAAGTGTTTGAATGTGCTATCCATAAAATTATTTTCAGAAAAAAATTGGTGCATGCATTGCAGATATGAAAGGGATACTGTTAGTTCACCCAACTTTTGAGAACTGGAGTAGAACAAAAGGACCAATATACGCAGCTTGTTAACACCCCCATTGCAAAAGCACTCAAGTTGGTTAATTTCATGAGGGGTGATTACTGCCAAAATGAAGTTTGGAATTTTATTATGCTGTTTGCTGATGCGGTTTTTATTATTTTCACTGGTGTTATTGGTGTTCTCAGTGATGTTCACTAAAACTTTGATGCTATTATTCGTGTCCGTATGCTGTTATGCAAAATCTCGATGATATTATTTGTGTCCGAATGCTATTATTCATGTAATAGTAATAGTAATCAAAGCTTAATGTCTTTACATGGGGCATGGTTACCCATA